ACTTGCTATCAACTCACTTGCTATCAACTCACTTGCTATCAATTCACTTGTTATCAACTCACTTGCTATCAACTCACTTGCTATCAACTCACTTGTTATCAACTCACTTGCAATCAGCCTCATTTACTATCCAAACTTGCTACCCTCTTTTGTTATCTATTCATTTGCTATCTGTTTCACTTTCTCTCGGCCTCACTTGCTCTCGGTCTCACTTGCTATCAGAACGTTTGCTCTCTATTGTTAACTGCTTTCAATCTCATCTGCTATCCAAAACTAGTTCCTATCTAAATACGTTGCTATCAAAATAAGTTGTTTTCTAAATAAGTTGCTATCAAACCCAGTTCTTATATGTTGCTATCATAAACTTGTTGCTTTCTAATTAAGTGCTATCAAAACCAGTTCTTAGTTAGATATCAAAATCTATTCTTAGTTGCTATCATAAACTTTCCTTTAAATAAGTTGCTATTAAAATATGTTCTTAGTTGCTTTAAAAAACTAGTTGCTTTCTAAATAACAAGGCTGATAGCAACTGATTGTGATTGCAAGTGAGTAGATAGCAAGTGAGTAGATCGCAAATGATCGCGCTCCGTATTTTCCACAGTGCTTAGTATTATTTTCATCTTGTCAGATTTTGAAACATAATTGAACCAAATCAATTTTTTAGATTTTTTTTCAGGGTTTGGTGATTTGAATGAAAACTGAGATATGCCCCATTGTTTTATTTTTAAACTAATATTTGACTCCAGCCATGTTCTTTTAGCTTGTAAATTAGTTAATTTTGGCAATTCTCTCCATTGTTTCTATAGCAGACATCCACATTCCACAATTCACTTTTACAAAGAAACCATAATTTTAAAATTTCCTGAGTGTAAAGCGCGTTTGCGCACCTAAGGTTTTTTGGAATAACATATTTTCTTCTTTCTTCATACACTTTCGCACTCATTTTTTTCTAATCAATAAAAATAAAAAAAATATACCCCGGGTTAATTGTGTAGGTTCGAAGTACGGTATAATGAACTAATATTGTTAAACATAAAAATATTGATGATCTCTGTTTAAGGTTGATGGTTCTCCATGATGTTCTCCTTGAAGCTGTTAGTTCTCTAGACCCTGAACCTCTCTTCACCAGAGAGAAGAAATTCGAGGAAACTGAATACGTTCATTTGCTCAAATTCTAAATCTTCATAATTTTTTCATTTTTCATCATTTATGAGAGAAGAGCTAAAGAGAGGGTTTAAATTTTACGGTGATATTTTTGGAAATCCCAGGAACTATCTTCATTGTGATCACTAAACAACCACCAAAAAGCAAGGCTTGGTTTTTCAAAAAAATGCAGAGTGCATAAGGACCAAGCTTTAGCAGTCATTGATTACAAAATTTTGTTTGTTTAAAAACGAATTAAAACTAGTTCTAAAGCCGTTTTCATCTCGCACAGTAGACCGGAAACACTAAATAGTCCCTAAATCTTTTAGTTTTTTGCTATTTCTCTTTGATTTTTTGTATGTTTTTATTATACATCTTTCCTTACTTAACTTTCTTATCTTTTATTCTTAAAATCCTGCACAGAACTATTGCTTTATTTGTTCTTTCATCATAGGTCGTCTCGAAGAAGTTGCTTTGATTTCATAGAGAATAGAATATATATTAGAGAGGAATTTAAAGAATCTCTCGGTATGAATTTTGTCAGTCCCTTTCAGCCTGAAAGGGAGTTCAAAGTGTACAAATCATGTAAATGTTCACAAATTATATGCAGTAGAGTACATTAATACAGTATGTTCCCTAGACTATTCATTTTAATTTCGAATTTTTTAAACTGTTAAATAAACTTTATAATGAATTAGGGGAATAAAAACATCATTTGATTTATAGTTATAACGGAAAATCATCGTTTGTAAAGTGGAAGGCATAGAGTCTATGTGAAATGATCATTGGTCAATTATGAAACCAGCCTATTTCATAATTTGGTTTTCTTTTAACAATAATTTTAGATTTTCTAGAAAATGATATTCCAGGGCCCAAAAGGTTATATAGCATAAATAAATAAATACCTGCAGTATGGAAACAGTACAACAAAATGGCCGTTTTACACTTGTTTCTAGTAAATTCCACTCTAATATTTTACATTCTATTCTCTATGTTTGTTTTGAATCAAACGGTTTCTTTTTAAAAAAAATATTTTATTCATGTATCTGAACGTTTTATGTTTAGAAGAGTGTTGAAGGGCGGATGAGAAAACTACCCTTTGTTTATAATTTACAGGAGAAAATATTTCAGCAGAGAAACATCAGCAACCAGTAAAACAAGAATTCAAATTAATTATTCAGAAACAATCTTCAATCCTAAAGATCAATTAAACTTAATCAATCATGCAGAAGTTTGATCAATTATTTGAAATTCTGATCAATTTATCAGAATTCTAACCGATACTGCAATATTTTAAACACTAATCGTCTAAATAAAACAGATCAACTGAAATAAAAAACGAATCTGAAGTAAAAGTTACGCTCTGATCAATTAATCAGTATCTTGATCAATTCTAAATCACACAGATCAATTTTTATTCAAACAAATCAGCCTAATAGAAGTAAATGTCATTCCTAACACTGAAAAACTTTTTACAAAAGTTTCTAGGTCTAGAACTGAAATGTAAAATAAGTCATAATACTGTAACCTTTTCTATCATCGAAATATGTTGGTTTCTAAGATATTGTTCATTATATATTGTAATTTATTTGAATTCTGTTGTATGATGCAAGCGTCAAGAAAATCAGCAGAATTGAAATATTGTATCTAAATTGGTAAAGTGAGGAAGTGTTGTCCTAAGATTCATGTATTAAATTGCATTTGAAGTAAAAAAATTGTAAAATGTAAAATGTTTGATTTTTCAGATTTTATGTTTTTCCATGGATAACAGAACAAACTTTGTAAAGGTAAGTGTGCATCTGTGTGGAAAGATCTAGAAAGATGGTTTTTATACCATAATTTTTTTTTGAAATCTTGCTTTATCCTTAATTAGATTTTCTTGAAAAAGTTAATTTGGAAAAAAGATAATTTTTTATCGTGACAAAAAAATTCTAGAAAAGCAATTTTATTGTTATGTTAGCAGACAAATTGAATTTTTATTAGCACACCACACAATGTGTTCGTCTGCGCGACAATTAACACTCCACTTTTTTTTGTCCGAACTTTTGCTTTTGGCAACGTATTGCTTTTCAATGTTGGTTGATTCCGTTTAAAATGCATTTTGTTTTAAAACGATAATTAGGCCTAATTTACAAAAGAACGGTTAACATACGTGACTCGTCAATTTTTCGTCCGGACCTCACAATTTTCCGTTTTCTTTTTTAATTTAGACCTTAACTGCAACTTTTGTGTGATGTGAGCTGGGTTTTGTTAGAATCTTCAATTAAAAATTAACACTGATATCATCTGGTAAAGAACATTACAAATGGTTTTAATTTGCTTGAAAGATTATGAAATTAAAAATGTCCATGAATTGTTAAAATTCGAACAATGTCTGACGAAAATAATATGTGGTCGGACATAATAAGGCGGAGTCGTGAGGTCATTTCTGGTGCGGATGAAAAAATTGAGTGGTATGCCTTCACTCGCTCCTCTAATTGAATCCTTTTAATTGAGTCCTAGAAACTCGCGATCTTTATGCAATTGAAGGTTTCATTTATTTTAAATAATCGAAACACAAAACTAAGAGACAAGTATCATCCAGCACAATTGTTCAATCAAAATAGTTTGAATAATTTAAAATTTTTTGCTCAAAGTTTAGTTTATTATTATGACTTTTCAAACTATACGTCAGTTGTGCAGTTTACTCAGTTCTTTTATAGTTAATAAAATGAAACTAATTTAAGTTTCATATATACAATATACATGAAATTGCTTGAAGGTTATATCCTATTTCATCCCACAGTTTTATAAGTCATACTGTAGAACTTGCATATCTTTATGAAGGTCGAGAACCTTGCTGTCGGGTTGACCGGGGATCAGCTGTTCAAGTTATTTGAACCATACGGAGATATTCTAGAGATCACAGCATTAAGTCCAACTAGGTAGGTAATCTAGGATATTCTAGAGATCATGGTATTAAGCCCAACTAGGTAGGTAATCTAGGTCATTCTAGTGATCATGGTATAGATTGAGTTCAACTAGGTAGGTAATCTAGGATATTCTAGAGATCATGGTATTGAGTTCAACTAGGTAGGTAATCTAGGATATTCTAGATATCATGGTATTGAGTCCAACTAGGTAGGTTATCTAGGTTATTTTAGAGATTATGTTATTTAGCCCAACTAGGTAAGTAATCTAGGATATTATAGAGATCATGGTATTGAGTCCAACTATAGGTAGGTTATCTAGGTTATTTTAGAAATCATGGTATTAAGCTCAACAAGGAAAATAATCTAGGATATTCTAGAGATCATGGTATTAAGTCCAATTAGGTAGGTAATCTAGGATATTCTAGAGATCATGGTATTAAGCCCAACTAGGTAGGTAATCTAGGATATTCTAGTATCATAGTATTGAGTCCAACTAGGTAGGTTATCTAGGTTATTCTAGAGATCATGTTATTGAGTCCAACTAGGTAGGTAATCTAGGTTATTTTAGAGATTATGTTATTGAGTCCAACTAGGTAGGTTATCTAGGTTATTTTAGAGATTATGTTATTTAGCCCAACTAGGTAAGTAATCTAGGATATTATAGAGATCATGGTATTGAGTCCAACTATAGGTAGGTTATCTAGGTTATTTTAGAGATTATGTTATTAAGCCCAACTAGGTAGATAATCTAGGATATTCTAGAGATCACTAATTAAGCGTTATTCTAGAGATCATGGTATTGAGTCCAACTAGGTAAGTAATCTAGGATATTCTAGAGATCATGGTATTAAGCTCAACAAGGAAAATAATCTAGGATATTCTAGAGATCATGGTATTAAGTCCAATTAGGTAGGTAATCTAGGTTATTCTAGAGATCATGTTATTGAGTTCAACTAGGTAAGTAATCTAGGTCATTCTAGTGATCATGGTATTGAGTCCAACTAGGTAAGTAATCTAGGTCATTCTAGTGATCATGGTATTGAGTCCAACTAGGTAGGTTATCTAGGTTATTCTAGAGATCATGGCATTAAGCCCAACTAGGTAAGTAATCTAGGATATTATAGAGATCATGGTATTCAGCTCAACAAGGAAAATAATCTAGGTTATTCTAGAGATCATTGTATTAAGCCCAACTAGGTAAGTAATCTAGGATATTCTAGAGATCATGGTATTAAGCCCAACAAGGAAAATAATCTAGGATATTCTAGAGATCATGGTATTAAGCTCAACAAGGAAAATAATCTAGGATATTCTAGAGATCATGGTATTAAGCTCAACAAGGAAAATAATCTAGGATATTCTAGAGATCATGTTTTAGAGCTCCAACTATAGTGATAACCAGAAACATCTAAAATATGAAGACAATTTTATAGCACTGGTTGAGTGTATTTGATGTAATTACAAAGCTTAATATTTTTATTAAACACTTAAATCACTAATTAAGTGAAATGGGACTGCTGAAACATTAAGAAAAAACGATATTCACTTTTTATTTTATTAGTGTTGTCATTTTTTTTGTAGAGAAGCTGAACAATGAACAATTTGATAAACTGATGTTGTTTTATGTTTATGTTTTATTGTTGTTGTTACTTATATGAGAAGAAGCTCTGTAGACAGCTGTGTGATGTTGACCAACAATCAACCGGTTATAGGCAACAGTCGTCTTAGGAACAACAGCAATTTTATTAAGAATAGAAACCTGTTGGCGAGTTTGATTAATAAGAACTTAAAATGTTGATTTTAATTTTTTCAATACTTGATTCTGTCAAAAGTCATTCTAAAGTCAACAATGTAGGAACATAGTAATGATGTAAATGATAATGAAAAAAAATATCCTAGAATTGATCTTCTAGAAAAAACTCATGATATTTTAACTATTGTCCCCTGTTTCTGAAAATTTCAAAAAGTGAAAGTGTTAATGTTCATGTTGGTTTCTAAGATAGAATCTTGTGTTCACAAGAACACATAGTACTTGATACATCTATGACACGAGCCATTATGCACCATCTACTTGTTAAATTACTCAGTATAATAAATTCATTAACTATTTCTAAATGTTATTAAATGCTGTTGTTCCAGAGTAGAAAGTTTTTATCCTAAACAAGATCCAAGTTTCAACTCTAGTTCTGTACTTCAGGGATAAAGTAGATAGAAAGAAGAAAGTTCAGAAAATAGTTGATTGAAAATTTAACAAAATTAAAGTTTTATTAATGATTTTGACTAGCATACAGGGTGGCCAAAATGTACGGATTGTACGGATTTGATTTTATTTAGCCCAAAAATTATCAACCTAATTTACTTGTTTTTCTTCTCATTATCATCCTAATTTACTTGTTTCTCCTCTAATACTTATCCTAATCTACATGTTTCTCATCATCATCCTAATTTACTTGTTTCTCCTCTAATGCTTATCCTAATCTACATGTTTCTCATTCTCATCCTAATTTACTTGTTTCCCCTCTTATTATCATCCTAATTTGCTTGTTTCTCTTCTCATTATCATCCTAATCTACTTGTTTTCTCTCATTCTTATTCTAATTTACTTATTTCTCCTCTCATGCTCATCCTAATTTATTTTTTTCTCCTCTAATTATCATCCTAATTTATTTTTTCTCTTTTCATTATCATCCCTAATTTACTTGTTTCTCCTCTCATTATCATCCTAATTTACTTGTTTCTCTTCTCATTATCATCCTAATTTGCTTGTTTCTCTTCTCATTATTATCCTAATTTGCTTGTTTCTCTTCTCATTCTCATCCTAATTTGCTTGTTTCTCCTCTCATTCTCATCCTAATCTACTTGAATAAATATGTATTAAAGTATTTTTTAGAAATAGATAAAAAAAGTAATGTAATGACTTCTCCTACTGAAGAAGTTAAAACCCTCACACATTAACAATAGAATTTTGATGTTTTTTTAAATGGTTACATTTTTCTTAAATTGTACGGATTGTACGATTTTTTCTGAAAATGTGCGGATTTTTTCAAAAAAGTTTTGGCTACTATGAATATTTTCATTTTTTTCTGGATATTTGTTCCTTCATTGAACTCTTTATCTTGAGCGGTTTATATTTCTCAGATTTGGATGCGGGGGGGGGGTTGAAAATTAGACATAAAATCAAAATGCAATTTTTTCCTTTCTTTTTAATACTTCAAACACAAAAACTCATTGACCTTCTCCTAAAAATAATTGATTTTCCTCAATTCAGCAAATAGAACCCTTTATAACTTATGGGGGAATATTTTTTTTTAAACGGGGGGGGGGGAAGAAAAATTATTTTGCGAGTGTTCTATCTGTTTAATGATTTTTCAGGGTCTTGGAAGAAATATTGGAATAAATGAGTTCAATTACGACCCAAGGTTTGGAAAACGAATACTAATAAAGTTTTTTTTGATTAATTTTTTGGGCTTTTAGTAGTTTTGTTCCCTGGCAGGGTGAGACCTCCAACTGTAAACCTGCTGTGGCTCAACCCAGTGGGGCATCTACAGCTACTTCCAGTTTATCAGCTGCTCAAATTAGGAAACCCCACTGAAAAGTATTATTATTTTTTTGATTATTCGCATTATCGTCATTTCCATCATCAAAACATTATCAATTTTGATTTTTTTTTGCAGCGTGTGGGTTTCAAAGATGAGGTTAACTGATTTTAAAAAAAATGTAAATTATTGTATAGGAGAGATACTACTAGTAACTAGATGGTATCTCACAAGCATTGATCAAAAGCCATGTCTCTGAGTTGATAAAAAATCAATTGGGGTTTCCAGAAATATTGTGATTGGTGGACCTTACTCAAACCTACTAGGCACCTACTGTACACCTTGGACCATTCCAAGGTAGAAATAATGTTGCTTCAATCTTAAATGTTTATTCTTGATTAATCCTGTTTCTTGGCAGTTGTTCAATTCATAGATTCATTGATTAGTAATGCGGTTTATTTATTGATTGGTTAATTCATTGATGCAGTCATTTATTAATAGATTTAATATTTGATTGGTTTACTATTTTACTGATTGAATAACTGATTTTGATTGATTGATTCATTGATTGCAGTCCTGGGGAAGATATACCTGATTGCTCAATATGTCTTGATGTGCTTGGACAGCGAAGTTCTTACAACATATATTCAGACCAGCTTCGTTCTCTTACTCTTGTAGACTGTAAACACACTCTTCATCAGGTAGTTTAAACAAACTATGGACGTTATTTTTAGGCGACCATGCATTTATTGAGTTACATGTCCAATTCACAACGGTATCCTTCAAACCTTAGTCTGAGTATTGACATTGGAGAAATCAGTGTTTTTGTGTGAAAACTGAAGATTACATAGTGAACGCTGTTTTTAAATTAAATTAAATGAAAGGTTTTTTTCTTTGATTTCTGGGATAATAAATAATGCTATTTTTATATATTTAGCAGCTTGTATACTGTTTAGGGTTTTTGTGGATATTTAAATAAGAATAACTTTGTCATTCTTGATCATTCTAAGTTTTAAAGAGTACCAAAGTAAATTGGACATTTCACTTTAAAACCCTGAACAATCCCTTTCCCCTGAATTGTATGTTCCTAACCCATGTTCTTTTAGAGTTGCGTGGAGAAGTTGATTGCTCAAAGTCCCTCCCAGTTCCTGCAGTGTCCCGAGTGTAGGAAAATATATGGAACTAGGACCGGAACTAGACCCATCTCAGGAACCATATCCCATACAGTTCTCAATATATCTCTTCCTGGACATCCCAACTCCAGGTTGGAAAAGAGTTTATTATATATTTTGAAGAATTATCTGTGACGGGGGGGGGGGGAGTGGAATTAGATATTAATTTTGATACTTCTCACAATAAATTTATTTCCCCTAAAAATCTTGTGAAAAAAACCTCTGAAAAACATTTAGGAGGGTGGGGAGTTATTGCTAGTGAATTTTATAAAATTATTAATTTCAGGACATTTCAGCTTACATTTAATTTTACAGCTGGTATTCAGGTGATTCTTCATTTCTTTATCATTATATATTTACTAGAGTTTAAGGGCGCTTCGCGCACCTTTTAAAAATCCTAGCGTTGAACTCTGAGTCGCCATTTTTAATAGTTTTCGGGGATTCTTTTGTTTTTTCATAAATGATTAATTTCGAAGATTTTTCAAAGCAAAATGTTCAACTTCGACCAACCATAAACATTCCCTGCAGGGTAATGTCAGACAGTTAGATGCCTAAAAAAGTTTAATTTGATCGGTTTAGCCGACGATTAGACCGTAGTAAGGGAAGTATTAAGAGATTATCGGTGGTGACTAAGAGCTTTGAATGAGGTGATTAATTACTTACTAAAAGTTTTTTCCCAGGGACCTGAGCATCCCAACCCTGGTAAACATTACTCGGCGTCTAATTTCCCACGTCAGGTAGCATATCCATATATATAAAGTAAAATTAAATTTTCAAAGCCTTTTAATATAGGCCTATCTGCCTGATAGCCCTGAAGGATTGAAGGCACTGCATGGAATATATTTGGCTTGGGAAAATAGACTTATGTTTACAGTCGGCCAATCTGTTACTACTTTGCAGGTTATTTATACTTTGTACAATACATAGTTTTGTGCTCTGCACAGCGTACACTGTACAATACATAGTAAATTTGTGCTCTGTACAGCATACACTGTACAATACATAATAAATTTGTGCTCTGTACAGCGTACACTGTACAATACATAGTAAATTTGTGCACTGTACAGCGTAGACTGTACAATACATAGTAAATTTGTGCTCTGTACAGCGTACACTGTACAATACATAGTAAATTTGTGC